TTGCTATCCTTTTGTAAAGCTAAAATGTCTCTTTGTATCATTGAATTCCAAAAATTAATAATGGCACAGTTCAGTTATTTAACACTATATTTTATATTTGAATTCCAAGGGACCATATCCAAGTTCAGGTGCGAAGAGAAATAAAATTTCGTCCTTGCTTGTTTATGTTATCCGTAAAATGTGAAATTAGGCAATTTCATACAAAAACGGCAAAGAAATACCCAAAAAAGCGTGATGCAAGTGCAAAGTTGTTGTTTTGCTTATCAAACCTATTGTTTCATTGATGTTCTTGTTGCCATCTTGTTGTTGGATATTTAAGTCCCTAGTGTTTCCTGCAAAACAAGAGGAAGTGATGCCATTTGACATTTTGACAAAGGTATCACGTGGACGTGCATGCTCGATGGAATGGTTGCTTGCAGTGGCTTCTCTCCCTTCATAGCATAGCATCCGGCCTGGAGAGACCACTGCTCGCAAGGCACAAATGCAATAAACATGTACAGTAGAACCCCGATAACTTGAACTCCCCGCTAACTCGAACTGAGTCCTATTCCCCTTGGATTTCACTCCACTTTTCAGTCATTTTTACTTGGTTGTCTCAAATTCAGATAACTCAAACTCCTCACTAACTTGAACTAAATTTCCTTTCCCTTGATCAAAATTTCATGCAATTGAATGCCATAACTCGAATTCTGGTTCCTGTAACTCCACTTGGATGTCATTTCATTATAGCTACATGTATTCTTGTTGAACAATCAGTGAAACCACTAAAACTAACACTTCAGCAATTTGATTTTGATTGGTACAACAAATTTTGTCATAAAAAGCATAATCATGTTACCGTTTCTGACAAAATAAGTTAAATTTGCACAGTACTATCCAATGAAGTGCTGAAAAATCAGTAAAGTTCTATTGATTATTAAGATGGCAAATTTGACAATTAATCGACCTTGACAACTCTAACCCCGCTAACTGGAACTGTGTCTTGTCCCCCTTCAGACGGAGGCACCCAACGATTGCTTTCTGAAAAATAACTGTACGGAGAAGTAGAAACCGTAAGATTCCAAAAATAAGCCTCTCCATGTATAAGCCCCTCCAAATATAAGCCCCACAAACCGGTAATGCAAAAAACCCTCCTTTAAATCACCCCTCCAAATATAAGCCCACCCGAGGGCTTGTACTTAGAAAATTGCCCTCAAATACAAATGTGGCTAAATATCATTTAGGCAAAGTTAAAATGTCAGCAAATGCAGCCAGCAGTCTCCCTCATCTGCAGTACGTGACCTTCGGGGTGGCCTCTAGAGGTTTCACAGGGTTTCAAGGTTCATTGCTTTACACATGCAGTGTTATCAGCTGATCTTTGCGGATCAAGCACTTTGCTATTGCGAATCATTGCGGATTCTTGCTCGGTTATATTGCTGTTCTTCCCTTCGTTTGTCGCGAGAAAGCATTCTGCTACGATATGACGTCCAGGCCAACACATAACAGCCAAGCAGCGGCTTTTGACGCCATGATCTCTCCTGTTGAAAGCAACCCGTCCAGTTCGGCCGCAAACTCCAGTTTGCCTAGTACAGGCTCAGCGGACCCATCTGCAACGTCCCAATCACCGATGTTGGACCAGCCTTCTCCTGCCTTTCTGGCTGCCATTGTAAGTGCTGTCAAGCAAGCGCTAGCGGCTGAGCAAACTCCGAGTCTGCCTTCAACGCCGGCCACTAGTTTTGCTTCAAGCGTGCCAATGGCGGCCTCGCTTGGGGGCGTTCCTGGTTCGTGTTCGTCTTATACTGGCCAACTCGATGCCCAAGCCTCAAGCTTGGCAGCCTCTGGCATTGGTTTTTCATCGGTCTCACCGGCTGTTTCCGCTGCCACGGTCCAAGGTAGGCCTAATTTTGTTGTACCTGCTTTTGTTACTACATTTGCCTCACCGATAACCGCCGTTATGCTGTCTACCAATACTGCCGTCGTGACCGCTTCGCCTAGCGTCGGTGGTCTTTCTTCGCTGGCCCAGACGCCGATCTTGCACCAGCCCTTTGTCGTAGGCCCTGGCTTTTCACCGGTGCCTGCAAAACTTGTGAGCCAGATCGTTGCTGGCAAGTTTGTCGAGTTGCACGACCTGCTTTCTGTGAACTTGGTGCTACACGAGCCCGAACCTCAATTGCTGTTCGACGGGCGGCTGGTGCTTACGTCGACCCCAAAAAAGTCCAAACGACGCGTTGACGACATAACTAGTTGGTTGGAAGCCTTTTCGATTTATTGTCTAATTTTATCCTCCCATTTCCCGCATCGTTGGAGGGATCTGATGCAATATCCGCTGCTCATTCTCCGGACTCACCGTCAGTTCGCTGGCCGAGTTTGGCTAGCGTATGACCGGGCTTTCCGTTAACACGCTGCTGCGTCGAACCTCACAGATTGGTCAACCATCAATGTGCAGTTGTTTAATTTCCATGCAGCTGGGGCTTTGGTACGCTCTCGCGGGGAACTTTCGGAGGAGTTTGCTGAGCCCCGCAGCGCACCGTCTTCGCTCATTATTTGCAAGTCTTGGAATCAAGGCCACTGTGTTGCTCCCTTGTCGTCATGCCGCTTTGCTCACAAATGCTCTAGTTGCTTTGGCCCGCATCGTGTTGGAGCCTGCCCTGGTGAGGCATCAAGCCAGTCACGTCCTTCTCCCAAACGCTGATGCTTCCCCTCCCCGTTCTAGCAGCAAGTCTCGGCGCTAGTGAACTCGATCAGATTCGGTGGTTGTCAGGTGTTCTCTGGTATTATTGTTAGGTTGCCTTAGGTCGGACGATTTAAATTTTCAAGTGCAGACCTTACAGGACTTATAAGAGTTTGTTTTTGTTCCCAAGTTACTTGATACTCTCGTTTAGTTAGTCTGCCTCCTTGTGGTGGCCTTCCACATGTACTTCTTCGGGCATCATTAAAGCTAGTTGTTTTTATGTTGACTGTCCCAGCTGCTTAGTTGTGCACCTTCCTCTGGGGTTTGTGGGGGTTCTTTGCCATGGAACTAGTTATTTACCTTTGTAAGCTTTGCGTTTTTCTTTTCCAGCTCCTCTTCCCCCAGTTTCAGCAGTTACTCCCTTAGTGGCGGAGCAGTTTGCATGGGAGTTGCGCTTCCACCCCCAGCAGCCACAGGTTGACTTTGTCCTGGATGGCATTCGTCATGGATTTAAATTAGGTTTTTCCCCTTCCCAAAAGCTCAAGTCCGCTAAGAAGAACAAGCCGTCTGCTACTCAGCATGCCTCTGTCATTGATGCTTATTTAGCAAATGAGGTTTCTTTGGGTAGGGTGGCAGGCCCCATCAATTCCCCCCCCCCTTCCCCAACCTCCAAATTAGTAGTTATGGTGTCATTCCGAAAAAGGGCCAACCAGGCAAATGGCGTCTCATTGTGGATTTGTCTTCCCCCTGGGGGGCTAGTGTCAATGATGGGATTAGCGCAGATGAGTTTACTCTTCATTACATCACTGTTGATCAAATTATTCGCTCTGTGTCTCGCTTGGGGAAAGGGGCACTCATGGCTAAATTTGACGTTGAGTCCGCGTACCGCAATGTTCCTGTTCACCCATCTGACGGTCACCTGCTTGGGATGAAATGGCGTAACCAGTCCTATGTTGATCTAGCCCTCCCCTTTGGCCTTCGTTCAGCTCCATTCATCTTCAATGCGATCGCCGACTTGGTGGAGTGAATCCTCGTGCACTCCTATCAGATCCCTGATCTGCTTCATTACCTAGACGACTTCATCACTATGGGCCCCCCTGAGTCGTCTCAATGTGCACACAATTTATGCGCTGCTCTAGCAGTCTGCAAGCGTTTGGGCCTGCCTCTTCACCCAGGCAAGTGTGTGGGCCCTTCGACTGTGCTCGTAGTCCTCGGTATTGAGCTGGACTGTTAATTAAGTGGCTCGTCTCCCTGCCCAGAAATTGTCAGTCTTGAAAGAGCTTATTTCTTCGTGGCTTCCACGAAAGTGGTGCAATAGGCAGGAACTAGAATCTCTCATTGGACATCTGTACCATGCTGCTAAAGTGGTTTGGCCTGGGAGAACCTTTTTGCACCGCATGATTGACTTTCTGTCCCGTTTCCAAAGAAGAGATCACCTAGTTCGGCTTAACAGAGAATTTCGTTTGGACCTCCGGTGGTGGCACCACTTTCTCTCTGACTGGCATGGCGTAAGTTTTTGGCTTTTCCCAGGTCTGGTCCCAGAGGCAGAGGTCGAAGTGTCGTCCGATGCAGCTGGATCGATTGGTTTTGGGGCCTATCTGAAAGGCTACTGGTTTGCGGGTTCATGGGCTCCTTCTCAGCAGCAGCAGTCTATTGCTTATAAGGAGCTCTTCCCAGTTGTCATCGCCGCTCATGTATGGGGCCACATGTGGTGCAAGAGGCATGTTCTGTTCCACTCGGACAATGAAGCGGTAGTCCATATTCTAAACACCCGGACCTCGAAAGTACCTAGTTTGATGCAGTTATTGCGTAGCCTGCTTCTTTCTGCTGCTCGTCATAGTTTCTCCTTTTCTGCTCGTCATGTGCCTGGCAATCAGATAGCTGATGCTCTGTCTCATTTTCGTTGGCAGGACTTCAGGCAGTTGGTTCCGGATGCACAGCCTCATCCTACGTGGATCCCTCCGGAACTTCTGGCAGCTTTGACCTCTTCACCTTAGAGCGACAATGCTATTCCTTCTTGACCCAAGGCCTGGCCCCATCTACCCGTCGCTCGTATGCTTCTTCCCAAGCACAGTTTATTTGCTTCTGTCGTCAGCTGGGAAAGTTACATCCCTCAGGGTTGCCCCACCCGGCCGATGAATGGACACTTTGCCTTTTTGTCACCTTCCTTGCTCGGACCATTAAGCATTCTTCTATCAAGGTGCATTTATCTGGGGTTAAAGCTCTCCACATCGACCATGGGTTCCCTGATCCGCTTATTAATTGTCTGCATCTTCAGCAGGTGGTACGTGGTATCAAGCGCTGTCAAGGTTCTTCTTCTTCTAGCTGACTTCCCATTACCAATGATCTGATGCTGGTTATTTGGCAGTCTTTAGATCTTCACCTCCTGGATCACTGCATTTTTTGGGCAGCTTGTTCCCTTGGATACTTTGGCTTTCTTTGCGCTTCGGAGTTTACCGTTCCCAATTTGCCTAGCTTCTCGTCGTCCCTCCATTTGGGTGTCCAGGATATTTCAGTGGATTCGCCCTCAGCTCCATCCTGCATACGCGTCAGGATCAAGGGCTCGAAGACTGATCCATTTAGGAAGGGCTGTTTCATTCACATTGGCATTGGCAGGTGTCCACTCTGTGCAGTTCATGCTGTAATGAATTACCTCACGCTTAGGGGAGATGCCCCTGGCCCCTTGTTTTTGTTGCAAAATGGACAGCCTCTCTCGCGCAACATCTTGACGGATTGGCTTCGACAGATTATGGCCTCGGCCTGGGTGCCGGGAAACTTCTCCAGCCATAGCTTTCGCATAGGGGCCGCTACTGTCGCTGCTCGCAATGGAGTACCTGACCATTTAATTCAATCAATGGGCCGCTGGTCCAGCAATGCTTATCAGCTTTACATAAGGATGCCAGCTGAAGCTTTAGCTGCCCTCTCCATCAAGTTGGCCTGATGGGAGTTCTTGCAGCGCCTGCTTCGCACTTGTCTCTGGTTCCTATAGCATCTTGTTCCTGGGTTTTGGACTTGGCCTTGTCAGCCTCTGTAGGTATGTTGTAGTTTTACCATGGTTTTCGGTTACTGGTGCTTGGGGGCGGGTTGGGGATCGGAGGTACCATGTCACCCCTGTTCGCGGTTCCTCCTTTCTCCAAGCACCAGGAGAAGGGTTTTGATTGGGTGGTTCCTGCGTTCCAGGGTTGCCATGGATACCTCCCCTGCAGCTTGGCATCTGGCACCCCGCTAACCTTTTAGGCACCAGTTCCCAAGCTCATCTATTTGTGATGAGTTTAAATGTGGCTAAATATCATTTAGGCAAAGTTAAAATGTCAGCAAATGCAGCCAGCTGTCTCCCTCATCTGCAGTACGTGACCTTCGGGGTGGCCTCTACAGGTTTCACAGGGTTTCAAGGTTCATTGCTTTACATGTGCAGTGTTATCAGCTGATCTTTGCGGATCAAACACTTTGCTATTGCGAATCATTGCGGATTCTTGCACCCTCTCCTCCCTCCCTCTTTTGCGTTGGATCATCAGGGTAAGTATTTTCAGGTGAGTTATTTCCACTGATTGTTTCAGTGTGACGGTGCGGGTTAGCGGGCGCTCTTTTGGGTGGTTCCCACATTCCAGGGTTGCCATGGATACCTCCCCTGCAGCTTGGCATCTGGCACCCCGCTAACCTTTTAGGCACCAGTTCCCAAGCTCATCTATTTGTGATGAGTTTAAAGTAAAACAAAGCAAAAATGGTAAATTTACTTCCAACTATATGGCTAACCCAATCGATTTTGAAACGCAAATTTCCCTCTGTAGATAAGCCCCTCTAAATATAAGCCTCTCCAAAAATAAGCCCCTCAAAAGGGCCTTTGAAAAATATAAGCCCCAGGGCTTATTTTCGGAATTTTACGGTATTGCCCGAAATTATCTATCACTCGGCTTATTAGCATACTTTTGCTAGAGGTCTAACCAACCTCATCAAACCCGAGATTAAATATAAAAGCTTCATTCATTCATCACTCAAGAGGACAGCTAAAAATTTCAATATAAACGTTCCATTCACGTACAATTTTCAAAGCTTACCTTATAAATGCCTGAAAAATTTTTTGGATTCAAAAATATGATGGAGAGAGAGGAATTAGAAATATTCTCACTTTTGCAATGTGTTAAATGGCATCTAAAATTTTCGGGATAACAAAACTGCAGCCCTTGTAATTTCGAACACACAAGTTCTCCTAAGATAACCAAACAGATGCAAATTTTATAGCACCACTTAGATTGCATTTCTAGAGCTCTAAAAGACAAAGTGCTCTGGACAGCCTAAAAAGTGTTTTCAATGTATTTTATTTTTAATTTATGAGGAAACTGTCATTGGGTACCCCTGTTTAGAGTTCAAGGTAGCGGGATTCTTCTGTGTATATGTACAATGTATTTCTAACTTGAGCATGTGGATGAAATCCTATGGTGTGACGATTCAAATAAAAACATACTTTAAATTATTGCACCTTTTGGATTAAGTAATTATAGTATTTTAAACTTCACTGGTGACGTGAGAGACCTCTGCTAGCAGGGAACTTGTTTTTTTATTATCTTGCATGACACAAAAGTTATTATTTTTTTGTAATGTGTTAATAATTATTGATATAATCATAGTAAATTTTGAGAGAAAGGGACATGATCTGCATGAATGCAAAGTGATATCAAAACAAAGAAGGCTTTCAGCATTTTTTGGGCAACAACACAAAGAAGAAACTGCGGAAACATCCACGGCAAATAATGAAGCTGAGTCTGAGAATGATCAATCGAGTAAACCGAAATTGAAGTTGCCAAAGCAAAACTTTCAACAGAGCTGGCCAGAGAAATACAATTTAAGTTCGATCCACCAAAGTGTATGTTCTGTTTGCTTTGCCAAAAATCATATCTCAAATCAATCTCACGTGAATAAACTTATCTTACTTTTCGTCTAGATAAAGACTATATGTTCAATTCACTCTTGATCATTGCATTTGTTGATAACACAATTTAAACACCCAGTCTGTTAGGGTTATAATAAAAAAAATGTAGTGATCCCCCCCCCCAAAAAAAAAAACCGAAATGTCCCTCTGAAAACTGTTGACTGGGACACATTGTCCCCTTAGCTGGAAATCCTAGATCAAACACTGTATCAGAATCAAGCAGACTTACTTCTCCCCATGCTATGTGTGGTAGTATTCTTCTCTCTGATACTGACACAATGCCACTGCTATTTCCATTTTTTGATCTTCAGAGAACCAGCAAGAGTAAGTGTGTCTGTATGAGTCAAAGGGACCTAGAGAAAGAAACAGCATCGAACATTTCAAAGAAATATGAAACACATAATAATATCATATGCACAGGGATGTAAAGCCGTAGGTTTAAAAGGAAAAACTGAGCAGACTTTTCCAATATTCAAGCCAGCTTTTCAGCTGAAATTAGCTGGCAGCCAGCTCTTAGGAACACCAGTGTATGTGTTGTAGATTAATATTATTTGTTTCTTAGGTCAATCTGTTTTCAACCCAGGTAAATTTGTTTCAGACTAGGTTAATTCGATCTAAAGGTGTATTAATGTAATCATCCTACATTTAGGCAAATTTTGCACAAAATTACATGTACTTGCAGGTTAATTTAATCAATTGATATTAATCAAACAAGTTTTAAGATGGGCTTAACTTTCTTTTTGCCATTTTAAATGACTCATTATTAAGTTAGTATTAGAGTTATGGGTCAGTATACTGGATGAACAGACCTGTTAACACAGGTCTGTTAATCAGATAACTATTTTTGAGCTAATGCCATAAAATAAAGACTCGATATTTCAATGCACCAGACGGTGTATAGCAAGGGTGAATGGTAGCAAGGTTCATACTATTCTGCACTTTCAATACTTGCTACAGCTTACATGGCAAATTACATTGTGGAATTATGCATCAGTCAATTCCAGCTGCACCCAAAAAAGCAAACAAAATGTTAATTTATACTATTACTTTTTGTGAAAAGGCAGCATATCATTATGGGCAGCGTGCAAAGAAAGTCGGGTCCAATAGCCCAGAGCTAGCGGATTTGCTATCAGCAGGGTTGTCACTAAGGGCCAGGGGCCGGGGATTTCCCCCGGCTACTCAGAGCATGGCCCCTGGCTACTTTCGTCATTAAATTAAACCAAAAGAGCACACCTTTGAAACACACAAAGACTATCCATCAAACTAAATGCAAGTTTCATCTGCAGCAGGTTTAAGTAATTTTGAAATACTTGCATGCAAAAACTAAGAAATGTCGGAAAAAGACATCTGACTTAGATTTGGTACTAGTACACACGCGCGAAAACTCTCCATTAGCGAAATGTCAGTAGGGAGTTTTAGCAATGACGACGGCGACGGCAACGAGAACATCAAAAAGGCAATAGGTTTATTGAGCAAAACCACTAGTTTGCTTTTTTGTACATGTCTTTGCCGTTACTGCACGACTACGACGTGAAAATGCCTAGTTTCACGTTTTATGGAGGACGTAAAACAAGCGACGACAAACATTTCTTTCTCTTTCTTAACTTGAGTGTGGTCCCAAAGAAATCATCTCCAGGGAAATTGGCCTACATTAGCTATTTTCAGCGAATTGAAATAAACGCGACAAAGTTGGAAAAAACACCAATTCATTTTAAAAGAGACATTTTTGCTGCCATCACCTTCGTCGATGCTAAAAGTCCCTATTTTCAACCATTGTGTTGGCTTTGTGTTGAACATGTCGAAGAAGTGGCAAAGGAATCTGCACTCTTTGTTCACGATGAAAGACCTGAGCAGATCTCTGTTGACATCAGAAGTTGAGACTTCATCCGAGCGTTATATCTCCCTGGCTGATGCTGATGTTGATGATAATGAGGATTATGATGAAGGCCTTGAAGATGAAGACTGTGACTGATTGCCATGTTTAATATATTGACATTTAAGTGACCAGGTCTACATTTCGTTTTAGGTATTGAGTATATAAAATAACGCACGGTCAACGGGAAATGTTCGATCATTGTCCGCAGGTCATGATCACATCCTCAGTTCTACTTCCAAGAACTTATATCTAAAAGGGAAGCTAAGCATTAGCATTACTTTTGCATTCTTCTCCTTGAGTCTCGTTTTGACATCTCAGCGTCGTTTATAAAGTATTAGCCCTGTCTTTTAAATGCTTTTCCGTACGTCAGTTTCTTCGTATGTTAAGTGATGTTTCGTTCATAAATTCGAGACCACTAATGTTACCAGTTATGCAGTTTAGTTTTGCCATATTTTAAACCATGATTTTTTGTACGTTATGCTTTTTTTAGCCTTACCATACTTTTATTTTTTAAACAAGCCATAGTAACCTTATGTTTATGATGCTTTTTCGTACATTCATCGTCCGCTTGTCTTCTTTCCGCTTCTCTGTGGGTTAATTCATTTGTAATATTTAGTTTTACTTTTGTTTTCCGTAAGTTGTTTCGTTCTTACGCATAACTAAATGAGGATTTACAATTGATTTTACAGCGCATGTGAATTCATTTGCCCCGTATAAGAATCGATTGTCCTTTCCACATTTTAAACATTTGTAAAGTATCGTTCTGATTTAACACTTCTCTGGCCAGCATGCACCTTGTCTGCGTGAAGATAAGACTACGCAGATAACGTGACCGGTGCCAACCTGTCATTTTTTCAGGCATGCTTACATGTATATTTACATTTGGCGTCCACTAAAAAAACCCTCCAACGAGCCTTTACGTAAAGTAAAAACTTATTATTTTGGTGTCTAAGAATGTTGTAGTTTTCTTTAATAAAGACATGATCATCATAAAACCGCTAATGATAGCTGTACAATTGAAGAAGATTGCTTTTTTGGGGTGATAATGCCTTTTGGAAAATGGTAGAAGTTACACTTCAAAAACTTCTTGGGGGAAGGGGAGGGGAAGGGGCTCCATGACTGCTTGCAACTTCCCCGGCTACTAACAACAAATACCCAGCAACTTGAAATCTTAGTGACAACCCTGATCAGGCTAGTGATTTTTGTTCTTAACTTGCCCGACGGGCAAGTGCTGTTTTTTGGGAAATTCAAATTACAGAAGGACTCTAATCAATCCTGCTATAGGGCTAGTTGAAATGACTTGTGGGCCAGTACACGCTAGCTACAGCTTGCCCGAATGGCAGACTGTAAAACTGACTTTCTTTGCACCCTGTATGAGGATAAGCAAGAGTCCTGGCATGATTTTTAAAATACGTAAACTTAATCTTGCTGCAAAATTACAATGTCTACAGGAAAACAATCCTTCATGCGACCATCCAGAAGCCATGGAACTCTGGTGAGGCCGACTCCAAATCTTCTGGACGCCATTTTTGAACTTTGGTGACAGTTGAGAAAATTTTGGCGGGTGAAAAACATCGTTCGCACTAGAAATGGCTCCCTGTTGACAGAACTTTTTTGCAAAACAAACAAAACTTTGCTCAGTGCGCACAGGGCCTAAGCTTTTTAAACCTTACTTTCTTTTTCGCGGGATCTAGAGGTTTGTCAGGTTGATGTAACATTCACATGCGTCTGTAAGCAGCTTTAACTTCATTTTCGTTTGCCTGAAATGTAATAAAATACACTTTACATGACTGATCAAATATTTCACTTTTTCTGTCTCTCTGAAAGACTATTTTTACCTCTTTTCTGACGCTCAAAACAGAGCAGTAATCTACTTCGGCCTCTTCTAATTCCACCATTTTTAAATTTTACCGCTGGAAAATCGCCGGCATATGACTTTGAAAACATCCGGCTGACTAATAGGACTGTGGGCTTTGCAGAATGGCCTTGTCTTGACGTTGATTCGTTCAAATTAAGATGCACACCCCCTAGTTGACCATATTTAGAAGAACAGCGTTGCATATCGAAAAAGATACTGATACCGATAGCCTGAATTTCATGCGATTGCCTCGAGTAGTTTTGCCCTACGACTCGAATTTATCGGATGAAATAAAGGCTAAGAGATCGAAGTATTGGTATTTACCAGTAATCATTGCAAATTAGGTGAGCGCATTTGATGGGGTGAGGGGGGGGGGGGGGGGGGGGCTAGTGAGTGGTGGTGATAAGGGACTATACGTTTCTGGGAAACTGCCCTCTTCCCTCCTACCTCCCCACCCCCCCTTAATCCCACTTAACAATCTTTGCTACCTCATTTTTCCTCAAAAATACAAGAGCGTTCAGTATTTTTCTGGTGCGGATCGAGGGGGGGTCCAGGGGTTCGATCAAACCCCCTTAAACAGCTAACATCAAAAAATATAAAATAAATACAGTCAATCTTAAATGCAATAAACTCATAACCAAGTTAAGCCTCTGCGCCTCAATAAAGCTAAAACGTTTTCTCCACAAAAATGGCTAGATTCCTCAGCTTGAACAGAGGTTTTTGAGCCCCTGAGACTGAGCACCCCACCCAAACCTTGTTTTCACTAAAACCGCTGGGCACCACCACAGCTTTAGAGCTATGCAATCAATTCAAGTAACACGGTGCCACACGGTGCCTTGCTTAAATCCCAGGCCACTCTCAGTTGATACCACAGGCACCCCAAGAGTGGTATGAGAGTACTCTATTGATAACGTTGAGCTGTTTTAGCTCCTTTTTAAGTTTTATTTCCCATACAAATTCTCCATGTTACGCTTAGAACACCTGTTGTGATACTGAACTCATTCCCAATCTTTCAACTTTGATTTTTACTGACAACTGGTTCATGTTTCCGGCACTTCTCAAAGCGATTTCACACGCCCAAAAGTTTCAGTTCAGGAAAGAGCTGTTACCCAATATCGGTTTCGAAATAGTTTCTCAATGCACTGGCCCACCAGCCTAGTGAGCTGCGAGCAGAGGACCTTAATAAAAGATCCAAGGGACTCCAGTGGCAGGGTGGCCCTAACCAAACTCCTCAGTCCCCTCCTAGACTGTTCCAGGCGTTCACACGGGAAAAAATAACAGATTCCCATTTTTGGATATTTTAGGGTATTTAAACAAAACCCACAAAAATCCCAAATTTGGAAGAGTGAGACAAGTCCCAATCAGGGAACTTGGTTGGGAATTCCCTCGTTGGGACTTGTCTCACTTTGCCAAATTTGGGATTTTTATGGGTATTCTTTAAATACCCTAAAATATCCAAAAATGGGAATCCGTTATTTTTTCCTGTGTCAGAAGTTCAGACAACCAGATAAAGAGGAGTGGTGCAAAATGAAAAGTGGAGCAAAATGAGGGAAGGAAAAGGAGAGAGGAAACTTAAGCCCCAATTTTCCTGCTCCCTTCACCCATTTGATCTGCCCCCCACCCCTCCATCTGGATTCCTGAAACACACAACAGTTAGGCCCCCCACTTGCAATAGACTGATTTAAAAAGCTCTCAGCATCTACCTCAGAATCAGAAAAATGATTTCCATGAAAAAACTAAGATTTTCTAGTCGCCCAAGCCAGAGCAAAAGTTTGGCCCATGGGGCCACTGGGAACTGCCAAAGAATAGCGTTAGTATCTGCTGTTTCATTACCCCAAAAAAGTGCAAGAAGCTACTTATTAGGACTAAACAAATTTGGTGTTTGTTCAAACTTTCACTGCTCTTTTCGATGTATTTCAAAGTTCTGAAGAAGCCTGCCAGCAAGCTTTCCATGTCGAGTGGAAGTGAAGGGAACCACCAGTTCCCTGTGCGAGTGAGAAGCAAAGCCCTCACTCTTGCGTGTCCCTTTGCGTGCCGCTCGTGAGTGTCTTCTCAAGATATTCCTCAAATGGAGAGATCGCGGTTTGTGGACTAGTTCAGAGTTCAAAGTTGTGATGTGTGTGTTTTGGAAAAGTTAGCATTAGGCAACATCCAACCTCGTCCCCAGGGCTTTTCCCTTTTCCCTTTTTAAGGGAAAAGCCCTGGGGACGAGGTTGGGTAACATCGGCTGAAGTCAGATTGTTTCTTTCAGTAAAATTACATGAAGAACAACTTAAGTCCAACTTTACTGTGTAATATAAAAGTGAAATAGAAAAACTCCGCTGTGATGCTTTGAACCCGGGTCACTTGCTTTATAGCCTACATCCATATCCACTAAACCATCAAGGACTAGCTGCCAAATCCAGTTATTTTTAAAATGTACATGTTCTTATATATGCCATACCCCATTACAATATTTGAAAGCTAACCGTTTTCAGTTCAGTGCTTAACCCTAAGCACTGCAGATCAGTGCTCAACTCTCTACTGTGTTCTCTCCATAAGTGGCGCTCTGTAGTTTTGGTTTCTTCAGCTATTCTAGCTTCATTCTACATTCCAGTCGCGTTCCATTATGGAAATAATGCGTTGTGTAAAATTCATAAGGTGTCCAATCTGGCTTCACTCAATGTTATCTAACGCTAACCTTTTGGAAAATTACTGGCTTGTCACATGACCTACAGGTGGTCACGCGGCAAATGTTAAATCACTGGTAGGTAGTTTGCTATGGATACATCTTATGATTCACGACTCGCTGTCATTTAAAATATCAATTTTTATTAGACAGTACCTAAACAACAAAAGCGTTTCTGTTCCACTACACAAGTGGTATTTATCTTAAAATGTGACTGAAAAACTACAGAATTTTCAAAAGCTACTCCAAGAGAGAAACCTTTTAACAAGACATCTTTAATTTAATTTGGAAGTCAATAATTCCAGTAATGGCTTGGTGACAGTTTTCACAAAACACTCTACTGAAATGTGTGCAAGTCCTTATTGCCATAACAACTTGTTGAGAAGACGATCAGTTACTCAACAAATGGTACTTGTTATTAACAAACAAACCAGACTCTCTCGAGCCACTACAGTAGAGGGTTTCAACCACATTAGGGAACGTCAATGAAAATTATCACCGAGGTATCTGAGGGGTTCATCAAAGGCATGCAGCCAAGCTTTCAATCTCAGCACTTAATTTCTGCCTCTTGGTCTTGTTGTTGCCTTCTCCCTCCAGATAGCCTTGTTTGCTCAAACGGTTATTCACCAGCTTTTCAGCCATCACAATGGCTGAGTCCAACAGCTGCTTCTTCTCGTTTTCCTTGCGCTGCAGCTCAGTCAGCTGTCAAAGAAAAAACAAGTAACCGTAGTTAAAGATTGGCCTGCAAATACAGCCTCCCCTTGCAGCCACGAAAAAAAGGAGGTGGCCCATGGCCAGGGTCTCTAGATAAGTAAAAAGCAAAAGTTAAGAAGAATAAGGCCTCTGCTTTTTATATGTAGAAAATTGCTGCGGATTAAAGGGTCACCTACCTAACCAAGCTTCCCTGAGCGAGCCAACTTTTCATACATTTCTTTAAAAATGTAGCGAATAGTTTAGATGAGAAAAAGTTGTCTTTGCTAGAGGGGGAGCCCTCCTAGCTGGGCCAACTAACACTTTGGCTCCCCCAGAGTACATGGGAACGCCACTTTAAACACTCAGGGCATATGGAAGTGTTGGCTTGGGTTAGAAATGTATTTTCCATTATATACTCTTGCTAAAATTGGCTCGGCTGGGAGGGTTTCCCTTCTAACGGGGACAGGTTTTGTCCATACAAACAGGGCTTTAGGTAGGAAAAGTGGAATCTGGGAGGAGACAAAAACAGAGATGGGTGGAGAGAGACTTTCCTCTTCCTACTCTCTCAGTTTTCCTGATGACCAGCTTCGCTTTACTTAATATTATTCGAACCAGAAGGATTGTCTATAGACTATCAGATGAGAGGCAGTCTCTGGATGGCTTGATTTCTGTATGCAAGAACCTTCAGAAAAGGCTCTTAATGTTTTTGTTTATTAAGAAGGTGCATATCTCTACAGAGAGTTTACTAATAGACAAACACAAGACATCTGACAGATTGTCCAACTGGTTTTGTCTACCTTAGGAAGGTGTCTTAATATTTATTACATTATGAACTTAAACACTGTCACATGAACACTGCTGCACTGTTCTAGCAGCTAGAGAACAACTGGGACAAAACTGAGTTGGCGGCTTAAAATATTTTTCTAGATACCAAGTAGGGACAGGGAACAGTACAGGAATAAAGTTTGGAAAAAAATGCTCATCATGCAGGCATTAGACGAAGTTGACACTTCACTCAAGTAAGGTCACACAGTGAAATGAGGTCAAGGCATGGGTGGAAAATTTGAAAAAAAAACCCACGCCTTGAGTTGATGCCTTTGCATACAAGAATGTGCCAAAGGTTTTTGTGTCACTAGCAACTGACAACTTTGTTCTAACCTTTTCTGCAGCCTCAGGCTGTTCCTTGCTTAAGGAAGCCTGCACCTGCGAGATCTGATTGCTGATGGCACGGTAATCACCATCAAGCTTCTTACGTGCATTAGCAAATGCAGTAGCATCTTTGCTTTGCTTATACTTTTGAATGGCATCGGCGTAAACAGAGTAGAGACCACTCTGGCGATCCAAAAGACGTTGCACCTCCTCAATCAGACAAGCAGCTCGCATACGGGACTCATTAGCTTCATCCTAGGATGGGAGGACCAAATATTGGGAATTAGCCTATTGTTTTTTCCAGTTGGGGATTTCTATGTGTCAGGGACGCAGGACGCAGAGGTAACAAAATCACTATGCCTAGAAAGCTTTTTAAGTACACAATGTGAGAAACCGTAGGCCATTTCCAACATCCAAGACCACTTGCTGTTAAAATAAGGTACATGTAAAGCATAAAATCTATCAAGTGAAATTTGTTCTTTCTGCATAAGGCCATCCTCTTTTTTTTCACCTTTTACCGTCGTCTGACCGACCCAAATTTTTGGCATTTTCAAAAAAAAAAAGTAACGACGTAGTTACACTATTTTTCACTTGAAATTTCTTCTTTTAATCCGAAAAATGAGCATAGTAACAGCATAGAGAAAAACAGGGACAAAAACATGAACATTTTTCACAGTATATTGTACATTTTGTTAATCCAAATATGTGAATGTTAACTTTTAACGTCGTCCTGGGGTACCAGGGCCTACTATTCCGAGACTTCTTGTGATTTTTTTTTAGGTTTTTTGTTTCAATCCGACCGACCGACCCAATATCGGGAAACGCGTTCGACGGTAAACTAAGAAAAAAAAGGGTATGGCCTAAAAACCACAAAAAATGGTTTGAACTTACAGCAACGTGGCCAGAAGACTTCAGATAACTTAACTCTTCTTTGATTCTACAACGATTTTTGGTACCATTTATAAGAAACAATTTTACAGAATAGCTCTATAAGAAATACAGCTGTGCAACACAACATCCAGTGACCATGTTATTACCTTACTGATTGCAAAATCTAGCCTCATGTAGATGATAACAGCCATGAAGAGCAAGTAAAATGCACCAACAATAAGAAGTGGCTCTTGTAACAATAACACTTTGTTGAAGGAATAGTGGAGCTGTAGAAATGGTTAAAAGAGAAAATAATATTAAAAAAATTAAGGGCTTAGTATTAGTTAATAGTAAAATCCAACTTGTGGTCTATTATCAATGCTGCATTCTGATTGGTTCAGCTACTACTAGGCTATATGTTATAGCCCACTAGTACCAAAAGCGCTGGCTTTTTGGCGGCAAAAAAAGGATTAAAGTCTCGCTTTAACCAGCTAAAGTTGTTTTGTCTCAATATTCTTCACCAGCTAGTTGGACTTTACTAAAACAATTATTCCTCTTGCCGTCATGGCCTCTGAGTCAATAGCTCATTCGGCCTTCGGCGTCATGGGCTATTGGCTCAGAGCCCATTCGGGCTCGAGGAATAATTGTTCATTACTATGGCACACTGTGACTGACATTTTCTGCATGAAGCAATTTTCTCTCAGATTCATCAGGTATTTTGGGAGGGTCAAGTACACAATGTAAAATTGAAGACACTTACAACATGTAGTCAATGGCATGTGAAGTTTAAAAATTTTAAAAGATTAAAACTGGAGCCAATAACACACAGAACAAGACAGTTATTGTAGCACATTACTAAGAATTGCTGTCAATCATAATTATGATCACAAGCAATGAAAATTAAAAGACACAAAACGAATCGGAATCCACCCATCTCAAATTGCAAACCATGACCTTTTGAATTAGTTAATTAGTAAACTTCCGTTTCCGAAGGTCCACTAAGATAAATAACAGCAGCCAAGGTCGCAAACAACAGTTAGCTTTTGAACTTCAGTGTTTGTGTGTTTTTGAAAGCACAGTAAAGCAAGACTTTCTGGTCAGGCAGAGTTTAAGTGTGCTATAATGGAGATAGTACTGCAAAGTTGCAATTCTAAGGAGCCTATTTTGAGTTCTCTCCGCTCATAAATATTAGAGTAATAATATGTTACATGTATATTAACAACGTTTATCACAAGAATAATGCCAACTGTTCAAATGTTTTGCAGAAAAAGTGACCATACATAGCGAAGAATATTATTTTGCTGAATGTACCTCAAAGTCCTGAATGTGTTGCTCCACTAAGCTAGACTTGTGTGCAACAATCACTGGACGACCAACTGTATCAAGATATGTAAAATGTAGCTCACGCTTGCCCTCGTCCATCTTGAAAGGAGTCTTCAGTTGAATATCACTAAAGGAAAATAAAATACAGTTGAACCTCCATTAATTAAGCAGCAACCCTCAGAGTATTGGTCAGGTTTTATGAAGATTACATAATTTATTAGTATTATGATGAAATAAAAGCCCTTACGTGCATCCTTCAGGGAGAATAATTCGTAACACAAGGTGATCCACAACAAACTCATCAAAGATGTGGTCGACAACTCTCATTTTCAAAATGTATCTGTTCCCTACAATGGGATCACAATTAACATAAATATTCATCAGCATCTTATTATCTTGGTAACATTGTAGAACAAAAAATATGTGTAAGTAGTTGTACATTTTTGTTGCCATAGTAAGTAGGAAAAACTTATCGACTAATACTCCAGCAAAGGTTGCCAATTTTGGGAAACCCAATTTTTTAAGTAATGCAACCAAACCATGGTGTTTTTCATAGTTAGTGTAAGTTACTGGTCTTTCTTAAATTAAGATGAGATAAACATTTGCATGCAATATATTTACTTTCCAATGAATGTCTTTATAGATCACCTCATTCACCCAAAAGTTCAGTTGTGATAGTTTGACAGCCATTTTGATTTTTAACCCTTTTATGAAATGTTTCACAAACTGGCCTTTTTATCTATTTACTTAATCCTGAGTGTCTAGAGACCATTTTACACTTTTAAGTCGCCAAAAGGTGACTGTGAAAAAGGTTAAGCTTATGTCTGTAACATCTGGTTAAGTGAAAATGAATAATAAAAATTAAGACAACACTGCTTTGTAACTTTCCAGAAGTGTTCAGTTAGTTAACTGCTTCTCAAATCTGATTCCAGAAACATTTCACAAGTTATGGTTTCAATCAATCTCGTTAAGTGTGGCTCTTACTTGAGGATTGAAATGCTTACAATCTAGAAGTACACTTCTGTTATCCGCTCACCTAGATTGTACAAGTACTCATAACTGGGCACATTGTAGCCCATGTAGAACCTGGTCTGCCAGCCACCAAACAAGGGAAACCTTGGTCGCAGTTCAAGCTCCACAGAATCTTCCTGGGACCACAGGTTACTAGTGGAGATGTTGCCAATTTCATCACGGTAGTACACGTCACTAGCAGCCGCAGGGAGAACTGACTTGAAGGATTTGATGGATGCTGGAGCTGCAGTTCGTTGATAATCGTATCTGGAGAATGAACCCTAAAAAAGGACGAATAATGCCAGGAAAAGTTAATGAAAATAACCAAAGAAAGCCAGTGGTGCTGGCGCATTTAAACAACAGCAAGGGAGGGGGAGTTAGAGCTGGGTTAAGGTTAGAGGTGGAGGTGGGCTGCAATTCACGTTTCCAAGAGGTGGGGAAATGGACAAAGTGGACAGATTTGACACTTTCATGTGTTGGTACTTGAGAAACTGTACCGTATTTTGGGATAAATGGCCTGTCCATGATCTTGTGCTTGTGATCCCCCCTCCACCCCTTATCAAAGTTGCTAGCAATACAAAACCATACTCAAAACTTGGAGGAACAACTTTGAATGGGAGGGAGGAGGGAAGTCAGCATTATATCTCACAGACCTGTGACCAGGAGCGATTTGAGGCAAGAAAGGTCGTTTTTTTTTTTTGTGGGTGTCTCAACATTTTTGCAACTGGTTGTAGCTATGGGGTACCATGGGTGACTGGTCTGTAATTCATACTCAAATTTATACCTAATTATATGATAACAACAATGATAACAATCAAAAGATATTTATGACAAATGGTTAGGACAAACCACACACCTTACATAAACTAGGTACCAAGGGGTAAAAGAAAAATACCTTGAGCTCTGCTCCAACATGCTTCATGTGGTAGGTTTCTTCAACTGCAATGTTTCCCCAGTGAGAAACTTCAATGGTCCTTGTCATACCAACAACCTTTATTATTTGTACAGTAAGTAGAGGAAAATCAAAAAAATACCATCAACATTCTGAACAGCTTGCAAGCTCACAAAGAGATGCTGTTATAACAATATTATTCATTACATTAATTTTTTTTTGCCAAGCCTCGGCTGTGAGAACTGCCTTTGCATACTTTTTTTTAATAAGGTAAAAGGTCCTGGATTATTTAAAAGGTGTGCAAGAGCAGTTCTCAAGGTGTCACACAGACAGTTCTCACATGCACTAATCAACAATAGCAGTAAACAGTACAATAATATTTCATCCCACAACAATAGCAAAACTGTACATTAAAAAAATTCCGCTCATATTATATGCTAAACCATCGAATAAGGAAAACAAAAAAAAAAAAATTATAAGTTTTTTTTGGTAAGGTGGAGACATCCTGATTCTGTCTGTGAGTTCAAAAAATGACATCAAACCATTGAATGAGAGGTTAATTATTTTACTGCAAAAGAAAAATGGTATTTTGGCTTCTATTTTCATCCCTGATTCTGTCAGCCACAGTTGCTCCTTTTGATTTTTCACCCTTCAAACCAGGACACTACGGTTGTATTACGGCCTCGTATTTTGCTTGGAATAATAATGAAAGCTACTTGCATAACAACTTACCGAGAGAAAGGGGGTGCTATTTTCAAAGTGCACTCTCATGGGATCTGCGGAATATGCTTCAACATCACTGTACGGTCCATATGTCACGGCGTTGTCTGACAGACTAGATGGTTTAAGCTTAGTGTGTGACTCAACAGAGGATGTTGCCAAGGAGACAGTCGTGGTTTGCTTTTTTACAGTGTAAGGAGAATAATAGTAGTGATTTCCAGAGAAGACAACATACTGTTTCTCAGATTGACTGATCTTGGTTGGAAAGGGAGTCATGGCATGCACAAACACCTCTTCAGTTGTGACATCAACAGAGTCTCCTGGCTTGAGACGAAATCCTAGCTCAACTTTGAAAAACTTTGTCTCACTGAAACAATACAGTGACAAAATAGGGAACATGAATAAATGAACAAGGCATTTACAACTAACCACCCAAACTGCTATCATGGGTGGGCCCTTTCAGTCCCAAGAGCAACAAATATCAATTTTCTCCCAATAATATCGATACATCATCAAAAGAAAAGGATGAATCACCAAAGGAAAAATGCTATGATCTTTTACCAAACTCTCCCCAAATATTCTTTGGGATCAGTCTAGAGAATTGGGGTTTAAGAGGTCAATGGAAGGCTGTTGCTTACGATAGATAATACATGTAGATGAACTTTGGCTCGGAGAGTTAACAAGTGTAGTTAAAACAAAAATACACATCAAGCACGGTCAATTCTTTCAATGCTGGACTTAGGCCCACTTCACATTTCATGTGCTTTGAATCTAATGCAAATAAGTGAGAGCAATAGAATGTTCCTTGTTTGCATTAAATTCATCATACGTGAAGTTCTACATTTCAAAAAAGCGGCTGTATTTACCTTGCTTAGATGTCTGTTAGAGAAGGGTGTTCAGATACATCAAAGAAATTTTAGTAACAGACAACCGATGAAATTCAACATGGATTACGTATGTGACTCGCATGTAGAGAGACGAACGGAAGTCTGCTGGACCACGCTGAATTTTGCTGATGATTTCAAATTTATCCTCAAACTTTGATAACCCAATTAAGAGCAAAATAAAAGGAACAGAGTTATAAAATGTGCATTCAAAGATCATGAGTCACGCACGTTACGCTACTTTCAGTCATAAAACAATTTAAGCTAATTTTGCTTATTGTTTAACTGAAACGTTCATAAACACGCCTATGTTTACCTGTGTGAACTGATATCTACTTCGGACAAAACTAAACTTGATTCTTCGTCCTCGGGGTTCCTAGCCTAAAAGATCAACGCGGAATAAACACGACATTATTGCTTCGATTCGTACGTGGCAAACAATCACCAATCACCTTTTGCAGACAAAAGATTCCAAGAGTTACAACACGCAATTTTCGATCTATAGGCCAAAAGCGCTTTAAAGAAAAGAACTCACCGTGGCTCCAACAAATGCAAGTTTATCCACAAGTGACGGCTCAATGGCGAGATGGAAAAACCCTGTTGATGAATCGCCTCCATTTTCGATCGTTAGAGAAGTGCTGATTTTAGTGAGCTGGGTCGAAAGGTCTATCTTTCGTGAAACCTCACTTATGACTAGCTTAGGGTTGACATCATTTTTTCCTAGGGTAAAGGATGCAAAGAGTAAAGCAGCGAGAGCCACTAGACGGAGGGATACAGAATTCATCCTCAGATGGAAGAGGATTCTAAAGGCCTACTACGTGGAATCGCCACAGTGGGTTCAAAGAAAGACGAGAGAGACTGAGCCAGCAGTTGATTGTTAGTGTGCAGCGGATTCGTCACTATCTGGGTAGGTACTTCATGTATGGGGACATTTTTCGTACCAGTCTTTCGCGTTCAGAAGTGGCTTCTTTGAGCAAAGGCACAACTAAATAGAACTGCAGCTTTAGTAAGGAATAACTTTTCTCGATTGAACACCATACTCTCGAGAGTAATGTAAAATTGCACTTATTTTTATCATAATAAAACTATGCGAACTAGCCCTCCATTTCTAGGGGTTCCTATTGGCGAGGACCGAGGAACGAAGAGCGAGAGAGGCTGTTTTCCCAGGCCAAGGAAATATTATCAAAGAAGTCACTCGCGAGTTCTCTCCGGCGGGCTTCTCTTGTCCACCAAAATGAAGAGTTTGCTCGTAAGCACCTCAGCGTTAGTCTAGCTAAGGTGGCAGGCGCCAGCGACTAAGGAGATTTATCCAGGACGGGCGCGCACGAGGAGAGAAAAGGAGGACGTGTTTCCCTCTCGCACTCTATAAAAGCTAACCAAAACTATGCCAAACTAAAGCTGTCCCCGAATGGGCCCTGTAACCCTTTGCTAAATGTTATCTGTCATTTTATAGTGTTCTTTGATATCACCTTTGCCGAAGGGGTATACAAAAGTCGACCCCAGGCAGGGCTCCTGTCCCAGGTCTTTCTCTAAGAAATTGACAGGGAAGAGCCCCATGGACCAGATCAAAAAATAGTAATAAAACATTTGTAGACCTACTGACTTGTGGCAAGGAAATACAAAGAAGTAAAAGATCACAAAAGGAAAATACTGCTAATTTACATGGCCTCTATAAGAGATATCATCAGCCCAGATTCATCACTCACAAGGCCTAACAGGACGGATACTGAGCCAATCACGGCGACCGGTGTTCACGTGACCTTCTCTTCGTTTTGAGCAAAATTTGACTGAAATTTCGCTGCTCGCGCTATGAAAACAACTTACGTGATCATGGTCAGTAGTCAATGTTTGTACAAATCTGCTTGGAGAACGCTTTCTATAAGAAGATCATGGCGCGAATAGAACAACTAAAATTCTAAACCAACCGCTATAACTTTTGGTAAAAGTTTGGACGTCAATATATCGGACTGTAAGTCTGAGAAGAGTGAAACCGTTTTTGGTATAATCAAGGTTCAGGTAGTGATTTGGCCACATGATGGCGCGATCGATCACAGTGAGGTATGTGGAGTCTCATTTGTTTATAATTACGTTTTTTTTATTATTATCATTATAAGTATAGGTAGCTTCTGCATTTTGTTTTTAAAACAACTAAGACCTTCCGGTAAACTGTTATGTCTTTAGATAACACGGCCAGCAATTGACAGGAGGTAAACAGTGTCAGATTTTGGCACCTATCTATTCTCTCGGTTGCTCTTATTCAAAAAAAAGGAGCGTGAGCACAGGCTTTAGTCACCAACTTCGGTAACACTTTTACAAGTGGTTTAATCATTACTTCGAAGGTCAGTAAAAAAACGAACCATCTGAATAAGCAATATCAATCAATTATTTGGGTCATTGGTTTTGTCTACCCTCATTTACTTTTTAAACACTTTACTAAGTACCTGTTGCGATACCTGTTAGAGAACTGTGATGCCCCACTGGGAAGGGTTAGGTTACGCTTTCTTTGTTTGTTTCGGGGATAAGTTATTCAGTGGTAGTAAAGATTCCAAAAACACGCCCAAAATTTACTTCAAACGTAGAAAAGAAGATATAAGAACTTTAAACATCGGTTCATTCGTACTAATCCTCTAATTTCAAGTCTAATAAGGAATCGAAAATTTCTTCTATTCACTTATAGTAAAATCCAGCTAGTGGTCTATTATCAATGCTGCGTTCTGATTGGTTGAGCTACTACTAGGCCATATGTTATAGCCCACTAGTAGCGAAAAGCGCGGGTTTTTTGGCGTCAAAAATTAAGGATTAGAGTCTAGCTTTAACTAGCTAAACTTATTTTAATTTCTCTATATTTTTGACCAACTAGTTGGATTTTACTAAAACAATTATTCCTCTCGCCCTCATGGCCTCTGAGTCAATAGCCCATGAGGCCTTCGGCCTCATGGGCTATTGACTCAGAGCCCATTCGGGCTCGAGGAATAAATGTTAAATAATCTATCACCTATATTTAAGCTAAAACTGTCTTCACTAGTTAAAAAATAAACTGGGAATCTTATTTTTATCTTGACGTAGGCATCTAGGACCGTTTATATGGAACTTTTGAATGGAAATTACTCCTATCGTAGCCTGTTACAGGCTTTGAGATCGTGGGGACAGTGCAAAGAGATGTAAGCAGAAAAAAAAAAAACGTGCCGCACTCCACCATCCGAACGCCTGGAACGGGCTACTCCTATCGTAATATCACACAAAATTTTAATTGACAGGGACATTATAAGAAATAAACTGAATTGAAACCTTTATTAAAATATCGTGATCATTTTAGTGGACGTTCTCAAAACTTGAAACATTCAGTGCTGGCCGTCTAGATGTTAGGCAGATAGACAAATGAAAGAGATTTTAGCGGGTGAGGTGTATCCAAAGACTCGTCCCATGTGAGGGAATCCAAGACAGTCTTGGGAAAATATTACATCGCTGAAGTGTCTAGAACTGAGTTGACACGCCTGCGGAATCTAGTAACTGAAAATCTCTATTTCCACAGGTGTGGGGTCGGGGAAACGACCAACATCAAGGCATCTTGATAAATTTTACCTCCACGTTGTAGCCTGATGCAGACTACCGGCGACTAATAACCCACAGCAAAGGAAAATAATGAAACAACTATCGACTATATGGTTTGCGTTCTTTTTAGCGCTTAACGTCTTGTCGCAGTTAACCAATGGATACAAGCCGAACAACAGCTTTAAGAAAAACACAGCAAAAAAGCGATTGGAAAAGAGAGAAACGCACTCGTTACACGAAAATGGAGCGGATGGATGGAATAACGCAGTTATTACTGGACTAACTAATAGATCAGTCTATGAAGCCAAAATCATCCAGAAAAACAAAGAAAATAGTGATGATTATCAGCCCTCCAAAAATGCTTCTTTTGCTTTTAATGATCGGAATAGAAGACCTCGGAATCTGCTTCATAAGAAATTCATAGACGGTTTCAATAAGGTGATTAGTAAACGTCTCAAAGAAAAGCCACGCCAGGAAATTGAGATTCTCGAAGACAATCAATACACTCCAAGGCAAGATGGGTTCGAAAGCCCGCATTATGAAGATATCATTGGAAATGATTATTCCGAAAGAAGTGATAACAATGACAACAGCTATGTCACTGTTATTGACAACCTAGATGGAAAACTAGATACTGACCCATACAGCACCCTAACCTCAGACGCTGCCAAGAGTGAATACACAAACGTGGAAAACAGTATGCACGAGGGGGAAAACGAAGAATCGCAAATGGTAAGTGAAGAGGTAAAGAACTTAATGGGTGCGCTGATAAAGTCGGATTCCAGGATCAACCAAGTTGTGGCAGGTGAGAAACAACCCCTTCAAGAAAGTGAAAGACTATCATACCAACCAATTGGCTCGACTGCCACCAAGGTAGTGACCATTATGAATAACAATAAAGGAGAGTTTAATAAGAGTCAAAACCACCCAATCGGGCCTCCTGCAGATGTAACAATCATTGAGGACCAGGAAGATATAACTGGAGACAGCTATTCACATCCAGTTCTAAGTAAGGCCGCATGGAAAACCATACTGCAAGCTGAAAAAAACTTGACCGACCAAGATGAATTGCATAAACAGCAAGGTCAGCACGTACCTGAGAATTCACAAGGCAGAATTTCTGAAAATAAAACTCAACTGCCAGCCTATTTACTTTTGCCAGGGAACGCACCGCAAAACAATCATGCAAGTGGTCACTTTGCTGATCTAGAAAGCTCTCTTAAGATGTTTGCTGGTTCAAAAAACCAATCGGGATCGTATGATAATATTAAGGGAATGACCGTTGATGTTCAAAGAAATAGCAGTGGAAAGACTCTGCTTGTAAGCGGTGAAGCGGAAGAAGTTTCCAAAGGCTACTCCAATCATACACAAATGGACCATTCTTTTTCGTATTTGCAAAATGCCAATAACAGCACCACCTCAAACCTCGCTGCAAATAGTTTCAGTTACTACTACAAACCCGGTAAAATACAAACTCAAACGGACAAAAGTGGTGGTAATTACTCGCATGTCAAGCCAACGTTATTTGAACCACTTTTCAAGAACGATTCTGGTCAAATACTAAGTTCTCAAGAGCATGCACCTTATGATACTGGTCACAAAAACGCCACAAGCTATCAGAGGCCAGGAATGTTAGTGGACGTCGACAATAAAGGAGGACCCATGAAAGGAGGAAAACCAACAAATAATGTGGTCGATGGTAAGGATCTAACAAATGCTCAGACTGCCAATAATGATGCACAAGAAGGAGAAATTGTCGTTCCCAATGGTCCTTATTTGACAACTGGGGATTCCTCACCTCTCAGTAGTGGCGCCCGTATATTGCAAATTCCAAACCAGGTTAGACCTGGTGAAGTTAAAATAGTATATGTTAGGCCAATAAACCAAGAAAATCCCAGAAAAATCTGGCAAGAGAACGACAAAATGGATTCCTTCCAGAACAACGGTGTCACGGGGAAGCCAGGTAACTCTAATACTTTTCGAAATCACGGATACAATTTCAGTACAACTAATGGCCTTCACAAGCAAAAGAACCGTGAGACGGACGTCGGCGTGCCTCTGAATCAGGAACAAGGCGCTTTGGCAGGAGGGTCGAATGCAAGCGCTCAGATGATGTATGACAACAGGAGACCTGGCCAGGAAAAGACTATAGGCATTGATAGTAAGTCAAATGGACAGGTTTTCATTGCATCAAACAGCAATTCACAAAATCGTCAAGAGAGAATTGGTTTCCAGCCCCAGGAAAATAAGCTTGCAGATACCAGTTATCCGAGTTTTCAAAGCTGGTCCGAAGAATATCATAAACTGGTTGAAAAACTCAAAGTGTTATACAGAAAGACTCACGGGAGCCCCTTGCAAGCCCCTGAAGCCAAGAGCCAAGACAGTAACCATGAAACAACCGATGTTGAACAAATGATGAGAGAAGTTTCCAGATTTCACAGTTTATATGTTGGGCAAAACAACAAGCAAAAGGTAAACTCAAATTTAGGTGAAGCGAAAGGGCCGTTTTTTAGCGGAATCAAGGGTGACCAGGGTGGAATTATCAGAAACACAGAAATGGTGAATCCTTTAGAATACTCCCCTTTTATGTCCAACAGGAACTATGAAAATAGAAGGGATGCTTCCACTCCTGAAAGAGTTGGCGCAAATTTCTTTCATTTGACGAAAGACGTTACAGGTCAAGTCAGGAGTATCGAAGAGCCAATTAACCCTTTAGTCAGTGAAACAAATGGCAGCGATTCGTCTCAAAGGGGCGGTTTCTTGAATGACACTATGAGTGCGAATAACAGTAGACAACCGAATGGGGCATCAAACCTGACGCCGGTTAACCAACGATTGGCTTCAAGTGGACAAAATGTAAATGGTACTAAACTTGGTGACACTTCAGATAGAGCAGCGTCTGCAGATAATGGCCAGTCGTCCCATCAAGTGTTAATGACTTACTTTGGGAACGAAACTGTTCTTCGCAAGCAGCTCCATAACATTACTGATATTCTTCGAATGAATGGATTTACAGTGGGTCGAGCGACAGAGAGCAACGCATCAAAAGAAGTGACAATTGATAACGGTACAAGTACTCCAGAGTCCAAAGGAGGCCAAGAGTTCAAGGTAGTCAGTAATGGAAGAAATGATACTGGGAATCTCACAAATGATTTGACCCTACCATGGCCATCACAAGTAAAAAATGTTTCCAAAGAAGAGGAAGAAGGTTCCTTGGCTAAATATATAGAGGATTTTATTTCCATGCTCAGTCCTAATAACGGAACGACCACTTGGAATTCTAATGGAACCAGAGAAGGTTCATCCAACACAACTCAAACAGACCCTGCCACTTCTTCAGACACCTTAAAGAAAGAGAATGTGACGGATTTTAACAACCGAGTTATCATAGTGGTATCCCCTAAGTCCTTGAAAGACTTGATGAGAAATCGCAGCCACAGCTCTTCAATGCTAGTTGTCAACAAAATACTTCCACACAAGCCTGATGAGGTAGAAAATTCTACAGCGAACGTTAAAGCAAAAGGAATGAATACAGCGATGGACGCTCAAGAACACGCAAAAAGTTTACACAACAATCAAAGTTACGACGAAAGCACAAAACTTGATGACCGTAAGGGTACCTCTGGAGAAGAAAAGGTCGAATCAGAAGGTAAAGAAGCCGATTTGAAGCTGTTTTATTTGGAAGAGCTTAAATCCCTGGAGGTATCATTCTCTCAAGACTTTATGAGTAACTGGATTTACAATCAAAGATCGTTGGACGAAATGGGAATTTCTCCCAGCATGCTGCGATCAGGAATAGCTAATCTTGGTTCACCTAAAAGGCTTAAGAGAGTCTTTAAAAGGGCCCTGGCTGGCGATGATATTCATGTACTTGTAGTAGGTGGGTCTATATCGGCCGGCGGTGGTATTGAAAAGGACCACGGGAATGTGGAAGGTGTCTATCACAAAGCCTTAAGTAACTGGTGGAATAACACCGTGACATCCATTACGGCATCCAAGCTGAAGATTGACGCTATCGCTATCGGAGGAACAGATTCTGAATACTTCTCTTATTGCGTTAAGAACTACATGAGAACCCTGCCAGATATTGTAATCTGGGAGCTTGCAGCTAATGACTACCAACGCTACAAGGGAAGGAGTTTTGCACCAGCAAAACCACTGGAGCAGTTGACCAGGATTATATTAAGCCTACCATCCCATCCGGCTTTGATTCTTGCCAACTTTTTTCGAGGTAACTACTATAGGACAGCTGTGGGTCAAGACTGTCCTGATTCAGAAGATGAGGGGGGTATAACAATAGCGCAATACTACAAACTCACATCGCTCAGTTGGAGAAATGTCATATGTTCGTCGATAGCTGACCAGGAAATGGACCTTAAAAAGCTCTTTAGTTCGGACGGGTATCACCCAAGTCTCCTTGGGCACGCACAAATGTCTACGCTCTTGATCTCATATTTGAAAGGAGTCTTTGAACAAACTATCTCACAGGAGGTGATACTTTCAAGAAATCACACCCTGCAAAGTCACCAAAAAGATGAAGAACAAACGACTCTGCCCAAACCAATATTTGATGATCCTGAAATTCCCAAACCTTTTTGCTGGACGCTTCTTACACCAGACTACAACAAAAAGCTACGAAATACCCTCCCCGATCTGGAGTTTACTGAAGCAACGGGATTTCAATTTGCGAATGTTAGTCATTGGCCTATCCGTCGGGATCGTTTGAGATGCTTAAAAGCCATACAGGCTGGAGCAATGTTGAAAATGAAGTTCGTTGTTCCATTGCACAATGAACTGGACGACTCAGAGGATAGCTCGGAGAGGGAATTGGCAATTACAACGCATAACTCTTTTGGTGGGATGGGAGCAATTTGGGTAGACGGAAACCGCCAGTCAGCCAAAGTGATAAAGGAGGAAGGTGGACAAAGAAGGACCCAGGTTGATGTTCTGACGAGAACCCTAGCTCCGGGTGCCCACACGGTGACAGTATCTGCATTAGAGCCAGGATTCTGCCTCTCTGCTGTTGCCGTGTTGTAAATATGGACAAGAGAACAATATGTAAATATGTAAATGCCTTTAATCCGTTACTATGATTAATTTAGGCCTAAAGCGTTTTTTAAAATCTTTTTTGCACTAGAGTTTTTTTCTCAAGTTTATGACAACAGCGGGGAGACGTTGTGCCTTATTATCCCTCTATTATGAATAATTATTAGAATTTTTTAAACAACTAAATCAAGGTTACAAAGATAGTTATTTACTCAGTTATTTTCCGTTAACCTAGTTCACATTGGATAAAGCGTTGTCACAAGTCTCGGTGGCCATATTGGTGTCCCAAAACAAAGAAACTGCGGCCATGTTGGTGTTCCAATCCAATCCTGTGAGAGTTGAACTCTTTTGTAATGTAAAGTAAAAGCTTTCTTTCGTTCCAAGAAATTTGCATAAACGCCGGCCACGTGACTGAAAACACAATTGGGCAAATTCCGTTCGGCCAATTATTTGGGCAGATAACTCGAAATAGCATACCTGAGGTTAATTAAGGTGTTCTCATCTTCAATCCCATTCGCCAGTTCAGAAAACTAGTCAGGAAAGAGTTTCAATTATTGAAATGGTAACAAGGACCGCGGCTTGGTGGTTTCTCGGCTAGAAAATGTCGTATTGCGTTTTAGAATAAGGTCTGACCGGTCGTCCATTTTTTGTTAGCCTGCATAGCAGATAAGTGTTTTTAGGGCGAAGGAGGAAATCTCAGGACGCGCGAGGGGAGGAAAAAAGAAGAGCCTCCTCTTCCCCCTCGCGTATTTCCCTCGCGCGACCTGTAATCAACCTCGTTCCCAGGGTTATCTCCTACCCCTCGGAACGAGGTTGACATGTATCATTTACCGGCGCAGGCTAGTTTTTTGTTCGGTTAAGGATGATCGTTTTTTTTTAAACAGTCTTCGGAAGATTCATTTTGTCAAATTTTTGACCTATCATTTATTTGCAAATTAGGAGGACCGTTTTATATAAAATTTTATGTCTATTAGTATTCTTTATATAAAATGTTTATCCTATTCAGCATTCCATTGTTTCAATCATTCAACCCCGTATTTCCCTTGAGGCTGAGTTTTAACTTGTGTAAAGGTCCTTACAAGTGATTTCATCCGTGAAGTCAATTGGACAATATGCCTAATTAATAATTGTGAGTTTTTGAAGGTGAAATAAAGAACAGAAAAAGGTTGGACTCAAACTTCACATTAATGCGACTCAGCGCACTCGTCATTTGTCAGAACTGGCAGGTCACACCAGTCCGGTCTCAAAGAGGATTCCACTACTTATCAAAATTGTCCTGAGCCAAGTCAGTCTATTCCTTATTAGTAAAATCCAACTACTGGTCTATTATCAATGCTGCGTTCTGATTGGTTGAGCTACTACTAGGCTATATGTTATAGCCCCCTAGTAGCGAAAAGCGCGGGCTTTTTGGCGGCAAAAAGGGATTAAAGTCTAGCTTTAACTAGCTAAAATTTTTTTATTCTCGATATTTTTAACCAACTAGTTGGATTTTACTAAAACAATTATTCCTCTCGCCCTCATGGCCTCTTCGAGAAAAGCATTAGAAAAGCATTAGTTAGATTTAGAATAAGTAGTCATCAACTTAGAATTGAAACAGGTAGATACGAAAACATTCCTCGCAATGAAAGGATATGTCACTTTTGTACAAGTAACAAAATCGAAGATGAAAATCATTTCTTACTAGATTGTAAGGCTTATTCTCAGATCAGAGACATATTTTTCTTCAAACTAGAAACTAAAATACCTGACTTCAAATCACTTTCACACGATACTTTAATATCTCTTCTTATGAATTCTTCTGATTATTTAATTAACTGTCAATTAGTTTCATTTATCTCTCAATGCTTTGAATTAAGAACCAAATTAATATCAATGAATGAATGAATGAGAACTGTAACGTTTTGTAATGTTTTGCACGTACTAATTAGTTGAATTAGTACTTAGATTTAGACTAATAGCTTTTGCAATACTGTAATTTCTTTATGGTCATGCAAAAAAAACATTTGGTGTTGTTGTTGTTGAGTCAATAGCCCATTTTGCCTTCGGCCTCATGGGCTTTTGACTCAGAGCCTATTCGGGCTCGAGGAATAATTGTTAATTAGTGTGCACTGCATGCATAGTGACGGGTGTTAACTTCAAGTGAAAACCCCAGAAAATAGCCTGTTTCATGTTCAAAACAAGACCCTCATATAATGGGGGTTGATTGGGCTAAGACTGGGACATTTTCACAACTCACCCCCTCCCTCCAATCTCTCTTCCCTCAAAATATAGCATGACAGTACTGACATGACTAATTTGATCTAGTCGGAAATTCCAAAAATTATTGTTGCGCTGCGCTTACTTGAAAATGTGAGAGGGTCAATTTTGATGTTTTAAATACTGTTTATATAACAGTAATTTTTCTTTTCCTCAAAACTCGCAAAGCAATTGAAGTTCAGTTTTATTTCTGTCAGATATTGCATTTAAAGCCCAGCTGCTAACTATCCCAGTGAATATGTTTCAATATGACAGGGAGATCTACGAATAGCATATTCCTTTCTTGAACGAAAAGACTTTTCTTCACACGCAGGGAGAGAATTGCAACAAGTTAAAGCTTTTCACGTGGGGACCGTTGGAGGACATTGTTTTCTCAGCTCCCACACAAACTAACAACATCATCGACTACTGTATTTAGAAAATCGTTCAGCGTAAATATGGGGCTAAAAACGCCACGCAATAACTTTGTGTTCGTTCCAAATCGACTTCCAAATCTGTTCGCCAGACGACTTAAAATGACCCGGCCGCTCCGGCAAAAATCGGCTTCATTGAAGGGAGACTCGCAAAGCCTTCTGGGAATTCCGTCCGCCATTTTGTCTTTTTTTGACATAGACGGAAGGAAGGTATTTCTTAATTGAGCGTTGCCCTCATGAGCAGCCCTATAATTACCGTCCAGCTTGCCAGTTCTGACTTTTGTAAAAGCGCCCCAGCTTTGTTTAATCGGAACGTTTCAAATTCGCGTTCATTGCATGAAGTGTTTAAAATATTCCTACAGTGGGGTAAAAGGTAGGGAAATATTGGCAGGAAACTTGAGCACCGCATTGCACCAGAGTGAAAAACCATCATTCGCGTTCTGATTGAACGAATTAAGGACGTCTTCACAAGTGAACATCCTTCGCGCCTGTGTTTGGTCAGAACTCGTTTCCGTACGTACAAAATTTACGAAACGGCTTTTCACTAAGTGTATGTAAGTTTTACAATAACTAAGCGATTTCTAGTGCACTGATTGGTCTAGAGCTGGATTAATAGGAGTATATACCGCGGAAATAGCGTAATAAAGCGCAACTTGTTTTTCTTTGTCTCTCCTCTAGCAATTTCTCAGGAGGAAACTTCACCGAAAACTGATTGTGAAAATGGACAAATACACAAAAATCCTTAAGACTTAGCAGTGAAACCACTCGCCTGCGGCTCGTCGTTCTCCTTGACATTTAATGTGTACATATATAATAAACGCTCAAAAAAATGAGTACTGTGCTCGGTCAAAAGCGCAATATCAAGTGTTCATCTGTTTCTGCAACATGCTAATCGTGAACTTTTCCCGCACATAAAGTTAATTCCACAAAGCAAGTGTTTTTCGTCTGAGAAATTATTTTAAAAAGTTAGCATATTATAGAAATATATAATCGTTCACCGCTGGTTTTCGGAATATGAGAACTCTTTTCGAGCAAAAGTCATGGTGTAAGATATTTATTTGAATAATGCAGAAATTATTATAATGGTAGGAAGTCTATCAAAAGATATATTGCAATCAACCGAGCAAAATGAAGTTTAAATTTTTGCTTGAAAGATTTATGAGAGATTTTTGTCATCCATGTCTTCCGGTGTTAATATGAAGGAACTTTCCATCAAATAAATAAAATTAAAAAAAACCACTAGGTACATGGCCAAAACAGGCAACAGATGATTAATGTAAAGCGGTTTGCCAAAATTAGTGCTCGGTAGCTTACTAATGGAAAGCCAATTTAGTTGCAGAATAAATGTTCCTGCTGGGTGTAAGTCGCCGGTTGTCTGAATAAAATATTCGTCCCTGGCGTAAGTTTTTTCCTTATTCGTTAGTTTAGCACATGGAAACTTTACATATTTCGATCGTTTTTTTTAATACCAATAGCTTTGCCGTAACGCTAAAAGAAGTGTTAAATGAAAGTCTAATTCGGGCAGGTGTATTTAAGATATTGGTACGCCGCATTTAGTAGAGGGCATTTGAGAAAAACAGAACTTAGAGGATAATGTCCGGATACCAGTAATTGAAACTTTAAAACACGTTAACCAATCAAAAGAGCAAAACTTCTTAAATTAGCCTCCAGAGTGATCAGGAGAAGATTTTCCAGAATTATACAACCTTAAGTCTGTCTGGCGACGAAAGCCACTTCCCAACAACTGGAATATTTTATGAGACTTTGTTCGCGTACGGAAAATAAAAAAGAGTTTTTGCCGACCAGTAAATAAAAAACTCCCCATTTCCATATCGATGCGGCAAACATAGTGCCCTGCGAAGTTTAAAATTCCGGAGGTCCTATCCTCGCAGGATCGTTCCAGGATAGCTCTGTAAAACTCATAACATTGCAAACACGCAGTTTCTACCTACAAACAACATCCCCTAATTTCAGCTGCGCGTATGCCATCGAACCAGGTGATAATTCGCAGTGATAGGTGCTTTGAAATTCAAATTGGGTCAGTCTATATGCGTGCGTAAGCCGCTTCAAAAACTGTTTAATAAATACACAGCAATTGAGAAAACAGCTATTTAAGTGGAGGTAAATTAAAATTTTGAACAATGAATCTAACTATCCCCTCCGATGGCCATCTTTAATTTGAGAAGAAGCAAACGTTAGCAGTTGCGACTTTTCAACTGGAAGAGCTGTGTGAAGTCCTAGTCAAAACGTGAATAAACAAGAATCGAAGAGGACTTATGCTATAAGGTATGTGATCGCATTTCAGTATTATAGTCAGTTGTATATCGAACTTCGGTGACAAGAGAAAGAGATGTCGGGAGAGAAACGGAAATTTAAACTTTTTCAACATCAAATGTAGCTGCCTATGGCCGCACCTGTTTTAAGACTCAAGCGATAAACATGTGAACTTTCACGGCTTTTTCGTTCTCATACTTACCTAAAAAGGTCTGGCCATTAAAAATAACGATTAGGAGCGAAAAAATATGAAAGATAGGAAAAGAATATTGTGAGCGATTAATGTTTGGGCGCGTACTTAGGTAAGCGCAATCTAGTACATCATCTAGCCAGTAACAGTAAAAGTTTGAAACGATGAAGGGACCTCTAGGAATTCGAAATAAGGAAACTGAAACATTCGAGGCCCAGGTTTTGGCGGTCGAATAAAAACTGCTGCCTGAAATTTGCCTTTACTTTTGTTGGGTAGCACTGGTGATCCGAAACTCTTAGCAGAATTACCTGCATGAGACATTTTCAAAAGAACTTTTATCGTGAACATTGTACTCACTAAATGTGTTATAATTATACTTTTGGAAACCAATATTCGTGAACACAAGATAACGTCACGCGCATGTCAATACCCAAGTATCTTTACAATAAATTTAAAATATTCACAGACAGCTAAGAGAAATAATGCGCTTGCCACTTAATGTAGCAATGAGGACTTTCTTTGTAAAATTTTCAGCGCGCTCCGGATTGAATCCATGGATAACTGCCAGCTATACTGAACTGGTCGTAACACTTTAAAACCTTGTTAATGCTGCCATAACTGTCGCCATTTATGCAACCTAAACTAACATGAAAAACCCGATGAAGAACTTATTAATAAAGCCTTCCACGGTTTTTTCAACTTTTAACGTGGGGACAAGTTAGAGAAAAGTCGTCAACTCCGCTAGAAGGAGAGTCTTTAAATAAGTAAAATTGCCAAGTTTGAACGTAATTTGTTGAAAGCTAACGAAGATCTAGTTCCTCAAAGTCCTTACACACGTTTGTGTGGTGTTGGCCCGGGGGGTAGCCTGCGTGCAGACGATAACTAAACTCTGATTAGTACCGTCTGCGAAGCAGCGCAGAGATCCTTGTTCTGGACCGCCAACGGACTCAACGAATTACCGGAAGTGCGTTTCGAATTCTCCTTCAACCTGATTGGCGATCACGACAAACAAAACAAAGGCCTTTTTTAACTGGCCAATCGTGGCGCGTACTCAAATCTGGGTACACAGCTGGAAGTCCAGAACAAGGATTTCGGCGCTGTTTCGCAGACGGAGTTAACCAGAGTTTAATTTCGTCTGCGCGCAGGCTAGCGGGGGGGGGGGAAACGTCTGTAGATTTCGCACCTTTGCGGAAATATACCATCGCTCGCTTAAGACGAATCACTTTCAAATTTGGTAGTTTTACAAATTTTAAGGTACTTTTTCCAGTGTTGCTAACGGATTTTTCCTAACTGGTCCATGTCAAAAGTTGAAGGGTCTATTGCCCAACTGCACTGAAATGGCGTACTTTGTATTCAAGACCTTGATATTTGTGAAATACCCTTTTGACTCCGAAATGTAGTGCTTACTAGGGAATCAGAATTGACCGGCCAGACCAACCCATTCGTAAAGGGAAGTTCAATATTAATCGGGACTATCCAGCCAAATTAATCTATACCTTCAAAGCTCGAATTAGCGCCCCTTTCAGGCTAAAAATATATTTTTTTGAAAAACCTTCGAATAAGCGCCACATCCTTATATTACATAGTTCATGGTGATTTTGAAGACCCATACGCTTCCCCCTCCACCCCGTGATACAAGTGGTTGCAACCTCACTCGAGATTCTGCTCTCAGAGTTTAAGATTTAATAGGTATATAATTTTTTGTTGTTTTTAGGTTTTCGAAGCGGGTGATCGTCAGAATTTTTCCCATGATCTCTAAAGTGCAGGTTGTAAAAAGTTCATTCGATAACCATCCAACAGTTCGCTATTTGCAAAGAAAACTTAACATGGAGAGCTTCAGATACAACAAGCTTTCTGAGTGCGACGACGAATGGGATGAACACAGAGAAAGCCAGCCTCAACAGGGGAGGGGAATTCGTGCCAAAAACGTTACATTGATTGGGAGAGGTTTTAGCTACAGCAACATCCCTAATTGTGAGGAAAATTCCAAACCTAATGCAGCGACCACAACGCCCGTTCAAACTACGACAAAACCGGATCAACAACCAACGTCAGCTATGAAACATGCCCAACAAGATAAAAAACGCAAAGAGGCAACCGTTCAAAGCAGTGGACCTTTTCAGAACTGCAGTAAACTCTCTTTCGATGAAAATTCAAATAGCTCTGTTCTTACAGTAACGGGAAAAAAACGAGATCAACAAAGTGCCTTGGAAATCGCTCATCGTCCGCTTTGTCAGATGCCAAGCTGGAACGATAACCGGGAAGCGAAAGAAAAGCTTGGGGTACGCCGCAGTGCTGTTTGCGACAACATTGAAAGACAGTTGCTAAACAATAAAGGCATTAGCTTGCGGAAACTGCGGAAATTTTTGGTCGTGGATAACATTTTGCACGAGGTGAACTTACTGTAATCGACAGGCGTGGCTAGGACCACCAAGAGCAAGGCACATTCACACCTACTAGTTTTGGACTTGTTGGATTTTATACCTTCATTGGAGAAAAAAGAAAAACACCAACAACGGAGCTGAACTGAAAATCGCCAGTGCATGCATTTTCATGCAGAGAATTCAGTTCACTAACAAATCCAACAATCAGCAAATTTCAAAACTTCCTTTAGATATTTCTTTTGATTTTTCTGACCTGTTTCAATGAATATCTTTTTCATCCAAGAGATTTTGTGCTCTTCTTCATCCATTACCTGCAAATTCAACAAGCATATAAGGGAATAAAAAACAGTTGAGTCTTCATTAGATGAACTTTTAGGGAACCAAAAATTGAATGTTTGCGCCTCAGTCTTTTGCAGTGCAGCAAATATTTACCATACAAATCCATAGACAGACACTCCAACACCAGTAGCCAGTATAGCGAGTGATAGCTATGTTACTCTTAACCAGCCATAATACTAAACAAAAGGAAAACACTCGAAGTAAGACTCTGGCAGGGTATCAGCTACTAGAGTTAGTTCACCAATGGATGGGCAATTCTTTGCAATAAAAATGATCTCTGATACTACAAACCATTTTTCGACCTCGCATTCTATAAAATAAAGTTTTTTAAGAAATCGAGATGTGTCCTTACAAGTATACGTAGAAATAATTTTTCTACCTTTCATTATTTTGTTGTCTGAACTTCAACTTTTTAGGTATATAGGTACCAGATTAGAGACTTTATATGTTTATGCCCTCTGTAAAAAAAAAAAAAAAATGAAAACAACAAAAATGATAGAAAGGCATTGCTCACGGCTGCGATGACTAATAGACTCTCCACTGTCGTAAAAAAAGGTGAAAAAAGAACTTGACTGATAGAATTGTGAAGAAACCATTAGATGAGTATTTGATTTTCTCTTTTGTTTGAAAATTCAAACAAGACACTCAGAAGCTAAAAAATGTCCTACATGAGTGTATGCCATGTGACACTTGTTAAACTCGTATTCGTTAATGAAATTAGAAGAATTTCACATTTTGAGACCGTTAGATTCTACAACGACAAGGAAGACTTCGAAGTGTGAGGGCGTGAGCCAGGGTCATTTTAGCGCGTGAACGTGATAGCTGTCGCAGGGGCGGATCCAGGATTTTTTTTAGGAGGGGGTGCACTCGTCTCTTGCTCTACTTCAACACCAATAAACCACATAGTTTTTTTTTTGGGAGAATACCAGTTGTATTAGAAAACCGCAGGTCATCTCAGGGGGGGGGGCGCACCCCCTGCACCCTCCCCCTAGATCCGCCCCTGTGCGCGTCATTATACTCCGGGTTCTTGCAAAAATGCCGTGGCAGCGGAAACAATGGAGAGGGCTCAAACTTCTTCAATAAAAATAAACATGCCATGCTAATTGTTCTGGTGAAAAAAAGTACAATGGAACTTTTTTGGGGGGTGTCTACTTGTTGCAAAAACACGAAAAAATAAACTATAAAGTGTATACGACATGAAATTTGTTGTAACGTATTTCGGTCCTTAGATAAGTTTAATTAACACTTGTGAACTTCAAAATTTAACTCGCAAAACATTTCTTGAACTTTGGCCGTTCTGCTTTTCCCAGAGACCGGAAAAACGTAAAAATGAAGGAAGCTTTATTTAATCTCGGGTTTGATGGGTTGGTTAGACCTCTAGCAAAACAATATGCTAATAAGCCAAAACAAATAAATAAAATAATAGAGAAAGAAAGGGAAACCAAAAACTTATTTACAGTATAAAGTCTAAAATTATGTGAGATAGCTATTTACAATAAAAAGCCCAATTACTTAATAGTTCAATATCCTTCTTGCATACTTATTAGCATTTAGTTATGGGAAGTCACCCCAGACGAGCAAGCTCGATGGGGAAGACACGTAGGTGCTAATAAAGTAAGCAGAAGGGGCGGGTGGGTGGGGGCGACTCCAACTAAAGTTAGTCAAACTGACAACTGTGAATAATTAACACATGCTTATATACTATGCGCGAAGTCTATTGAATATTAATAAGGTATAAATAGTTCAATATCCTTCTTGCATACTTATTAGCATTTAGTTATGGGAAGTCACCCCAGACTGCGCCTATCGCTGTAGAATCCCCTACATAATCCTAACATAAACACCATGATGAACTCTTACCCTTCCCAATCCTTAACTAAATTGAACTTTCCCAACCCTAACTAATCCCCAAACCCATACAACAAAATCTTAACAAATTGCCACAAGTCAATGAGGGTTGTCCAATTTTCGCCACTTGTTCAAATTGTGAAAGTCGTGGTGTGTGTGTTTCTGTGCGCTTCAACTTGTACGAAGGGCAAAAGTGGTTAGATCAGCCTTTCAATTCATGCGATTGGTACTAGTCGTGAATGGGTGATAGTTCCGTGTGATAACTCGAGGTATGACAGATAGTGAAAATGCATCTCACTTGCACGTACAATTGGAGAACACGCATCTCATTAGCGACACAAAGACTTGGTTGGTAAAGTTGTCGTGAGGGGACCCTTTCAAGTGGTACGACTCGTTCGAGTCGTGCAAATCACACCTGCTAGAGAGAGGTTACACGGGATCTCACACGTACGACCCTCTCATAAATAAATTTTGAGACAGAAAACTTGCCCTTCGACATAAAAGGGAAATCTACGAATCTTGTCTTTTGTGAGTCACACAATACCGTCACACTAAGTGCCTAACCTAAAGCAAAGTCGCGTTAGAAACTAGCATTGAATACAACAACAACCATTACTGAGCGAAATTTGCAAGAGTCCGCCTTTCATATCGTACAAAGGAGAACAGTTGCTCAAAGACATACCAGCATAGGAGCCAAACTATGAAAAGGCTAAAACACGCGCCGGGCACGGGGAGTCATGCAGGCCAGTCAACCCCTTCTTACACCTGTTACACGGTATTGTACGCATTAGTATTTACGCAATTATTTTAACGCGTCGGCGGCCTCAGCATGGTTAGGTGCGCGAGGCGCACTGGATTATGGAACGGGGACCACCAACCCATGTGATCCTTGTTAACTTTGTCCTAGCATTGCGAGTGAGCCGCAATGAGTAAGCCGGCTTAGGCTCTTAAATCGCTTGGCGAGGGAAGAGGATATGGCTCCCCTCCTACAAAACGATGCGATTTCAGCAAAATCTGCAGTCCTTCGTCAAAAGGGGGTTGTCAACTGAACAAAACAAAACGTCCATACAATGCATATTAAAGGTTAAGACTCTTTCTGAAGCACAGTCAAAACGATTGAAAATGCTGACTCTAGTGTACTTACGCCACTTTAAAGACCAAATATTAAAGGCTAGAAATAAAAAGCGAGCTTAAAAGCTGTCTCATACTGCTCACGACCCGTGTATAGCCGACTTAGAGATCTAGGAACATCTGACGTTCCCTTTAAGTGAAAATCTTCGGGGGCAACAGATCTTCGAAAAGCAGATCTGTTTCCCTGGTGGGGATGTTCCGACCGAAACTCGTGGTTCATGACTTCAACCCACCTCTGGTTACCATTGCAGGACCCCGCAACCGTGGTAAATTGGACACATATGTGCAAGGAAAACACGATTGCTGAACGGAATGTTCCGAACCTGAGTTTTGTTTACCATTTGATAAAATGTTGAACCGACCGGGTAACAAACCTTGGGTCTCTTGAAAATACATCAGGATCCATTCTAACGTCCAAGGCCACACCCCAGGCAGCAGGAAATATCAAAATCATCAAGTGTGGAGCAAGCAATCACAGATACTGATAGCAATACAAAATCTAGACATGCGCACTACAAACACTTTCATTGCTTTAATTTTGATTGTTTAACAAAGGTAAAGAAGGGATATGTCTATCCCGTGGTTCATTCATTGCGAAACGCGTAAAGGTCATGCAATCCCAGGGTAAACCAGGCATCAGCTGATAACGCATGCCACCTGTAATCTTCGAATAACACACTCCACAAACGCCCCCGCAGGTGTTGTAACGGACTCGCTCTCTCTTCGACGCTAAAATGAAACAAACTAAGCCCAATAAAGGAGAAGGCCAAAAGCATGGATGGTGTAATGCGGTTGCCAAAGCAGACAGAGAGGTAGATGAAGAATCCAACATCTAAAATTATACGTGTATGCACTCGTCTATATGTGCTCAACTTAGCAGGAAAATTTCACCAGACAAGGTTTGGAACCGAAGGACGACGCAACGACTAAAAGGAGACAGCTGCGTAACGGGCAAATATGTTTTCACAGGCTCCTAACGAGTCACCTTGCCCCAGGGATCGAAGAGCCGAACTGCATGGCTGTCCAGAGCATACGCTAATGTCACCACCACTCCTAATCAAGGAATTCAATACCCGAGCCTTGACACATCCCAGACCATTTCTAAATATTTGGTCTGGAAAGCAGAGAAAACATTCGTGCGAAAGTACTCACAAAAGAGCGTAGATTAACGAGACCTTTTAAACTATGCACAAAGCTGCCCTCACAGAATAATGAACTGTATTCGAGAACACTCCACCCAGTTTAAGAGCGACAAAACATGTCGAAGGGAAAACAACCCCGAATTTAGCAATCATTAAAGAGAAAGAACAATGCTTGTAGGAACTTCCAGTCCAGTAGTTTTGTGAACATTAATGAAGAAGTTATTCTGAACGAAACGGGAGCGATCAATCAATCAATCAATCAACTTTATTGATACATCCAATTAAGTGGGTTTTCAGATATCAATTACAATAAAATCTAATAAGAACAATAGAAATCTAAAATAAACATTTGAAAATGAAAAAACATTACCATACTATTTAAAAAATATGCATAATTACACCTATTGAGTTTCAATGGCTTAAAAACTCGTCAAGTGCACGTCCTTTAATCGCATTCTTAAAAACATTAAATGACTCAATGTTTGCTAAACTTTCTGGAAGGTCATTCCAGAGTTGAACAGCCCTATAGGAGAAAGATCGCTGACCTGTTGCTGATCTAAAAGA